GAAAACTGGCATCCGGGAGCTGGAATCCGGTAGGGATTAGCTGGAATCCGGTGTTGGAAGAACTTCGAGATCTGGTTAGTCACTCCCTGACTGTGAAAAAAACGGCCATTTGGAAAGGGATTTGGAGGACTTCCTCTGGATTCCTGATATCGAAGGTGTATGAAGGTGTATAGATTATGGATCAGTGGATCCGTGTAGGGAGCTGTGTTGATGAAGGACCGATCTGGAGGACCACTTGTCGGATGTTTGCGCATCCGAGTCGGATGTGCCAACTTCGAGAGCTCCACCCAGGAGGAAACCACGGTGGGCTCCGGGGCTCAGAAGCTCTCCGTGCTTTCGGGTCTCTTCCCATCAGAAACGATCCCTTTCTCCCTCTCCATGGCACCTGCTGAAGAGCCAAGAACGTGCCAAAAATGGCAGCAAGAGACTCCAAGTCAGTGGTCGGAGATTGGAGGATCGTGGGCATTGGAAGCACTTATAAGCAAATGATCAAGATTGAAGAGTCCCTCTCGCTAAATGGAGGGATGCCACAACAACACCATGCAACACCTACCCTTTTCATGTGCAATACACATCAAATACCCCAAAGATCATGCCTGTTGAAAGACAGCTGGAGGGACCCAGTGGAGGGAGTACCTCCTCACCCCAGTGGCTCGATCGATTTCACCACCGAAGTCCGCGCGGACGGCGGACGTTCGCAGTCTACGCGCCTGCGCTCGATGCGAAGCCTCGGTGATGAGGGTGCACGGGCCCAGGGCTCAGGGGTGAGGGCCCTCAGGGATAGGTTTTAGGTTGAAGGCCATCGCTAGTATAGGTTGGAGGCGATTGCTACGTAGGGTGGAGGCCATCGCTAGTATAGGTTAGAGGCCATGGCTTCTAGGTTGGAGGCCATCGCTAGCAGATGTATGTCCCATCCAATCACCACCCACTGGCTGCTCATGTGGAGCTTGTTCCAAGCGACTCTTCCAGATCATCCTTCTCGGCTGTGGCACGGCGCATGATGGCGTCGTAGGCCTGTTGAGGGGCCACGCCCAGCTTCTTGACCGAATTTGGGAGGTCCATCCGCCCTTTTACAGGGCTGCTTGTCATGACAAACCAGCGAATTTTTGAAGATAAACCAGGGTCTAGACTCGCCCCGACTCGCCCGTGAGATTTGAACGAAACTCTCTGAGGTGATTCTCGGCTCCTCTATAGATGGGCTAGAGACATCTGGAGACCGGGTGGAGGCCATCGCTAGTAGGTTGGAGGTCCTTAAAGGTGACCTTGAGACAAACATCTCCAGCTCGATGACTGAGGAGCCTTCACCTGAAGTGATGACAGTCGGAGCAATTGGATCGAATCTGCTCCCAAGATGGAAGTGGAAGAGTTCGGGTGCCGAAGAAATCAGCGACATCCTCATCTCAGACTGAGCTCACCCTAGGGCTGGCCCTCCTGAGAAGGTGCTTGGGGCAGGTGCCGGGGGTCGAATAGCACCGGTCACCTAAGGATCATGTGAACTCGTCAAAGACGCTGAAACCGCTTGGTCCGGCGAGGGGGTTCCTTTGTCCAGCGAGGTCCGGTCACTCCCCAAAGTCGGAGCGTCCGGTCCGCGCTGAAAGCGGTCACAGAATTCCGAGGGGTCACGCCTGACGCTTCCTGGGGCGTTGGGCGTTCTTTTGTTTTGTTTATTTTTTTTTCCGGTGTGTAAAACACCGGTGTTCGAAAGCAAGTGGTTACTGAAAGAACCATGTAGTTACCACTAAACTGACCAAACCATGTAGGAAGAATTATGTCAAAATGACTAAACCAGGATGCTTCTCTGCGCCATGAAATCAGGCCTCCCAACCCTGCCAGTACCGCGAGTAATCGGCCTCCTTTTGTCGGAACTGTGCGAGTTTGCTCCTTGGCCGATGAGCACCGATGAGCCAACTGGCGTGAAACATCGATTCAGTTTGGACAAAAGTGGGACAGCTCCGAGCGCTCCATTGGAGGGTCAACATCGTCTGGAGTATAACATCGTAAAACCATGGAGACTTTACGGTAAAACCATGTAAAACCCATCAACTCAATGGTGGAATCCCAGGGTGTAGCTATCGAAACAGCTCATATAATAGTGACAACTCCTCTAACCTACCGGCACACACAGATACACACAGCATCACACAACAAAAGTTGCATGATGACATCCAAACCACAGCTTTCCAGATCTTTCCAGTAGCCTGTCTGGATAAAGAATGGACTTCCAGGGACTTGCAAATGCTACTCACCAAGAATGATCTCAACAAAACATTCTAAAACATAAGCTACGTAGACTTTCCGGGAGACGAAAACGCGCACCCCGCGTGTCAAACGCCGCGTCCGACGTGCGCTCGTGCGTGGCACGGCGATCTCCGAGTCGCTTCACTCGTCGTCGATCATCGGCCCCGGAACGGTCCCGACTTTCTGTGCGTCGTCGTCAACTCGGCTTCGGCGGCGTTCGCCCTGGTGTGAGGCCGGCGACCCCCTGCGGCCGGACTCCGGAAAACACCTGGAACCTGAATGAACCTCACAAGGGTTTGGAGTTGAAATCTGCAGACCGGCTCACCGCCCACCGGTGTTGGCACGACGACGACACGCTTTTTTTTCCGTCAACCTGGGAGGTTCGGGTCTTGGTTGATGGCTTTTGTCACTCCGCCGGCGGCTCAGTTGCCCTTGCCTCCACCCTGCCGTGGGCGGAATTGTCGCCGCGCGGGTTTTCTGCGACCACCCGAGAAAGGGAGGTGACAGGGGTGAGGGTTCATGGGAAACGGGTGACCGACGTGCTTTACATTTCAGGTGTGAGTCGGGGGAAGTGTGGACGCTGGGACTTGACTTGTGAGCTGTCGCAGGCTTTAGAAGCCAGGACTTGTTCTTTTGTGGATAGACTCGACCCTGGAGTCACTGGAGTCCTGTCGCAAGCTGATGTGAAAGGAAACAGCATCAAAGCGACGCTTAGTAAGGCAATCAGGCAATCAGATCAGAGTACGGAGCGCGCAAGAGATAGAGAGAGAGACAAAAGACATGACAAGACGCAACTTGTTTAAGTCCTCTGAAAAGATCAGGAGCTTAGCATTATGTGCAAATATGTTTCTCCAATATCTGATGGGATGAGAGTGTGACACACCAACCTGATAGATCCATGATAGATCCTGATTTCTGATGGTTTGTATGACCGTGTGACACACCGTGCAAGCGACTCCTTTCATTGGTACTCTGCCGATGTGGGTCCCGCAGCCAGCAGGCGCAGCCCCGCGCCTTGCCCATAGGAGGCTTGTAGATGCGGCCTCACACATGCGACACCGGACTGGAATATTGGCGGATCATGGCCGGGATGATTTTAAATACCCAAACACTCCATATTGGGGTGGTTTGGGGGGTCAATGTATAGGCATATATGTATACATGGAGTGTCTGGGATATGTTTTAAGGTCAATGTATATTCCATACATGGATTCGTCAGGGAACTGCTCTTACCAAGCTCCAACAGGTCTCTTCTGTCAAGTCTTCCGAGGGTTCGTGGAAACCTCACAGGTTGTAGTGCTGAAATTGGCTTGGCTCCCAAAGCGATGGGCAGAGTTTGGGATCGTTTTGGTATTGTTTGGTTCCACGTGGAACTTTGGAATTCATTCAATCCTTTGCAAGGACAGTCCAACCATGCTCCGAAGCCCCCACACCTGGGGCTTTGACTGACCTCCGGCCAGTTTGCCCGGCCCGGTAGCGTCCGATTCCAGGGTCCGAGTCCTTCGATGCCGCCCCGAATGCCACACCTGTCAACCCCCAAAAGAAGCTCCGATGTTTTGCGCGATCCGGTTTGAGAGGCCACATGATGACATGGCGGTGTGATCCGTTTAAGGACTGGACTAAACGATCCCAACAAGATCGAGGACTGCGAAATGCGCAGTCCAAGCCCTTGCCGGAAATGAGCTGGGGTCTCCACCCAAACGCTTAAACACACAACTCAAAATTTAAAAACATTATGCAAACGACTAGAAACACAACACAAATGACACAAAATTATAGAACCACAACACATGTGAACCACCTGAAACAACTAAGCAAAAATGCTTCGCAAACCATCAACAAAACGACGCAAACGCTCAACTTGTTGGCGCAACTTTGGTGGTTTTATTCAATACACTTTGGAATCCCTGGAGCACTCTTTGTGACACCAGCACATAGGTTTCGGATTTAGTTTTTTTTGATGTCGATCAACAAATCTAAAACGACTAGATTTTGGTAGGTGCTCCAGGCTCCAGGTGGAATAGTTAACTGCCAGGGTCCAGTGCCAGTGGATGATGAAAGTTAGGTTGCAGGCCTTGTTCAAACATCGTGATTTGCTTTATGAAAACTGACTGTTACAGCTTTACTGGGACAAACCCCTTGGGTACAGTCCCAACATCATGCAGTCCCATCTGCTACAAACCCGAAGGGACCCGTTCGGTCGGACACGTCCAGACGGACCCTGGAGGAGCCGGTGCCAGCGATGACTCTCCCAAACACCGCTGAATACTGCCGTTGAAACCATTTCCTGGGAGAACCACACATCAAAAACCAGTGCGGATCACCTTTATTCCACCAGATTTAAACAGTTCCCGTGTCTACTCTAAAGACTGTGTGGTTCAAAACCAATTATTCCGCCTTCAGAACTCTTGGCTCAAATCCCCATTCGGCTGTTTATGACCAATCCCTATGTAAACCACCACTTGGGAATTGAGCCAAGAGCCTTGACGGGGATGTATATCTACAAGTAGTCTAGACACGCTCCCGCCAAAGCAAAGTGGGTTCCACCCGTCACTGATTGGTAGAGGACCTTTCGCGTGTGGTCTGATTGTCGGAGGGAATGTAAGTAACATGTGGACATGTGGATTGATACTAGGGAGCTCCCCAACCAATAAAATTTGGGCGGCCTAGAAAAAAGAGTCTTCCCTTCATTTCGACTTCCCTTCTTCCAGGGGGTCTCCCTTTGGTCTTTCATGGCATACCCAGCAAAAGACACCGCAAGGTCACCAGCTCGCTCGCTCGCTCGCTCGCTGGCTCGCGCCTTCGGGGCTGGCGCGCAAGACCTTGTTGCGCACGCGCACCACGCGGCCGTGGATCGCGCAGGACACACCTGGGCTGAGATCCGACGGCGCTGCCGACCAGGTGCCGGTGCTGACCTGCTGACCCGGTGGGTGCCGTGGGCCATGGAGATCCGAGGTGCGGAGACCCCGAGGTCGGAAGGTGCTGGGCTGGTGGTTTTGAGGTCACAGCCTGTACAGAGACTCCAAGAGGGTCAACGATCTTTCATTGGCATCCCCCGATGACAAACCAAATCCCAAACACTCCATGTGATTGGAACATATGCCGCCCCATTGACCCCCAAACCACCCAAACTAACCGGCAAGTATGGCACATAAATGGCACACATACATGCCCTATAGGGATCCAATTACCTTCTCAAAAGGTGATTGGAGACACTGTTAATGATGTTAATGTAACTTATGTATATAGGTTTAAAGTTTGGAGGGTCCAAGTACCTTTTTGAGAGGGTACGACTGGATCTGTAGGGTTTCTTGTGTTTGGGGACGCTTCCTGTCTGGAGATCGTCCAGTTTAAGAGTTTAACCCATGGCCAGGTGGGAATCCTTCGTGGCACGCGCGATATCCGGACCCAAGATCCACGTGGCACGAGCGTGGGAGGAGTACTCGCACGAGCCGCCAGGTGGGTGAACTTCCATCCCAAATGCTATGTGCGTTTATGAGATGTGCCCTACGAATGGAAGAAAAACAAGTTTGCTTCCTGAGAACACTAAGCTGTGAAAACAACCATAATCAATAAGTACTTAATATCAACCGTATTGATATCGATAGGATAGTTGCGTTTCGCGGGATGTCGAATTTGGGACACATCTTTCTTTTGCTTGGCAGTTTCGATGGAGTCAAACAGCCTCAAGTCTCGACCAAATGGTCCAAGAAGCAGTAGAGCATCTTCATGTATAGCTTCGGCAACCTTGAGTAGCAAGTTGGCAAGGCACTGCATGTACCATGCCATACGATGGCACTGCATACCCTTGAATAACTCGTGGTAACACCCAACTCGCCCAAACTTGAGATCCTAAGGTCACTGGAGGTGACTCAGATCCGGTCTGAAGGTGGTCCTTGATGGAATGAAGGCGGTCACAACAGTAAGTCAGGCAGAAGTCCTTTAAGGCAAATGTCCTTTACGCACAAGGGTAAAGACAACTGCACTCTCACAGTCCCCTGTTTTGTTCAAAGTCCTTGTGGAAAGCAATAGTTCGAAGCATGAGAGTTGGTGAGTCCGAAGGCGAGAGGTTTTTGTAGTCACCAACTCTTGGAATGGAGAATATGTCATGACTCTGCGTGAAGTAAGTGCTTCTCAAACATCAACCGTTCCAGCCCAGTCAAGGCACATAAAGGTCTGGTACACACTGGCCTCCCTCAAGTCTCTCTGCGAGGATGCATCCACCATGTTTCGGACCTGGAAGCGCTTGATGGCCTTGTCCTCCCAACGTGCACAGCCGCGACGACCGCCGAAGGCTCAGCAGTTGCAAGACTATAAGAACATCCCGTGCAACAAAGAGGAACATGAACACTAGTAGCGATGGCCTCCATCCTAATGATAGCAATGGCCTCCACCCTAGTAGCGATGGCCTCCACCCTTGTAGCGATGGCCTCCACCCTAATAGCAATGGCCTCCACCCTCGTAGCGATGGCCTCCACCCTAATAGCAATGGCC